GTGTTGTTGAAACATTAAATTCTGTGTTTTTATGTAACCAACTTTGCATATATACCCAAGGTAACCACTTTTAAGGATTATATTGTATTGGAGATTTGAATGGGAGATGGTGATGGACAAATAAAATAGACATTATCCCCTACAACAGATCATTACGAATTAAAGAAAGAAAAAAATTGTTTTACAGGTAAGTTTAGCAATATTTTTGAGGGGTTTAAAAAATCTATTTTTAAGATCAAAAAATTTGCCTTTAAAAAACCTGAAGAACAAGAAAACTATTAAACACAAACACACAAATAATAAAAACTAATATGCAGTTATTTTTCTACTTGAAGTAAATTTATGCGAATAATTTCAACAAAAATCAGAAACTATGAATTTACTTTATATCGAGGTTACATAAGAATGATATGCATAAAAATGTTCCTCAAAATATCAAGTTAACATTACATTTAAACATTGGGAAACCTCCCATTTGTTCTTAAATTATTAACAACTTTCGAAATTTACACTTTTTTGTAGACTTTCTTTACATGTACCCCCATTTACAGAAAATATTACTTGGGGGCATTAACCAGTATATTTTAAAATTGAGAATGGAAATGGGGAATATGTCAAAGAGACAACAACCCAACCAAAGAGCAGACAACAGCCGAAGGCCACCAATGGGTCTTCAATGCAGCGAGACAATCCCGCACCCTGAGGTGGTCCTCAAATGGCCCCTAAATAAAATTGTGTACTAGTTCAGTGAAATTGGTTGTCACACTAAACTCCAAAACATATAAATGAACTAAAATTAAAAATATACAAGACTAACAAAGGCCAGAGGCTCCTGACTTGGGACAGAGGCAAAAATGCAGAGGAATGCAACATGTTTTGTGAGATCTCAACCCTTCCCCTATATATTTGACTGTTTGGCTAGGTATAAAACGAGGTGTTTGATTAATTGAGGTAGATTTAGACCTATTAAAGACTTGAGGCTAGCTGATGATTTGATAACTGTTCAACTTATATGTTTTTGTCACGAATATACAAAAACAGATTTTATCATAGCTGTTGTGTGTTCTATATGAACAGTGTACAGAATATGCAATTTTACAGTACTAAGAAGAAAAATGTATAGCCTCTGATTTTTTACCTTATTTTAATATTTTATGGGTTTTTGGCAACATGATGCAATAAACAATACAAAAAATTCACTTGAAGTCAGCAAAAACATGCCCCCCTTTTTTTTAGATATGCCTAAATACATGCAATGTTATCAAAGATGAGGAGAAATGCTTAAAGACAAAGTCCTTCACAGAATACTGGTTCTTACAGTGGGTTAATGAATCCTATCCCTTGAACACAAGAATAAAAAAACAGTAAAAATTTAATATAGACAATAGGTTCATGGTGATCAGCAATTTTCTTCTGATACAGTTTACTATCTAGTACCTTATCAATTTATATATCCCATTTCTAATATCTCTAAAAATACATAGATTCGCCAGAAATCGTTATTTTGCTTAATAAGGATGACATGCTGTCAAGTTTGCTCTTGAAAACTGATAAATTTATTCATATGGCTATTTAATATGTAATCCTTACATGACAGTTGTATTTTAAAAGAAAAACGTATCTAGTAGTTATTAAGCATTATCTAATGTAATTCATTGCCTTTGGTAAACATCAAAAACACTAGAAAAATCCTATTCAAAAAGTTTATGCAAGGGCAGACTAAAAATTTGGGGGTTGAAGACTAATATTACCCTAAATAACACACACAAAAAATGAAATTTTTGGAAGTAATGCATTTTCAAGATCAACAAGTAATGTAGGTCGTCAAGGGCTTTTAATTAATAATTAAGGGCGGTGTAACAGGTGTCAGATTTTTCTTTTTTATGTACATTTCATGAATAGAAAACTAATTTAATTTTCTAGGACAATATAAATGAATGAAAAGAAAGTTTTAAAGTTTGTAGTAGCAGAAAGCTTTTTTTTCTTTTTATCATATCAACATGTAGCCTAAACATATATTAAAAAGAAAATAGATGTATCAAATATTTCTCTTTTGTATGTTTTCAGAACAAATGATAAAATGATAACCAGAATGCATTAGATTCTGAAATAATGGCCAAAGAACACAGTTATTTCGTAGTGAATTTCTTTCAGACAAAAAAACACTAAATTAAAAACCTGCTTTATCCAAAAAAGATATTTACAGTGTAGTGTACTACTTTTGGAAAAAATCATATAAAAATTATAGAAAAGTGTATTAGCTCCAACTCAAAATATGGACAATTATAAGTTAAGGAGTCTGTAATTCAAATTGACAGCTTCAGACATACTAATTTTTGACCTTTTCAAAACTGGACAAAATCACTACTTTACCTAAAAATTCATGCCCCAAATATTTTTTTTTACATGTAATTCATTCACCTACTTACTATTTTATGCATAAAATATAAAGAAATAAACTTGGAAGGTGTATGAAAAAAATTTGCAAGTTATACAATGTCCACATTAGGGACTCTTTTTGAAGACAACAAAAATCAAAGGATGATAACTGTGTCCCCAGACCTAATGAGTCAACCTTTTTGATATAAAATTTTTTACATAATATACAAATTATTGTTTTACAGAAAGTATTTTTTGACATTCCATGAAAGTAAGGTGCTTCCATCAATATTTGACTTGTTTTTAGGACATGACAAATGTCAGCCAAAGATACAGAGCATAACTCACTGTATGAAAACAGTTACAAGTCTAATGGATATTTTGTAAAACAAATCCAGTACTCCTGTACTGCTCAAATTACAATAATTTTAGTCTTACTTATCATCAATCAAAAAACAATAATATGATGCAAGTAGAAATAATGAACACATATACATAACTGGTAAAAACAGCAATAAAAAAATTGCAGGATTCCTTTGTGGCTGCTTTCAGTTTAAAGTTTGCGGTAAAAAAACTAAATCAATTTACCAACAAAATATGGAAAGATAAAAATATAAAAATGAAACGTTTTTTCTTGATCATGAAGATATTCATGTTCATGTTTCCCAACATTCAAGGGAGGTTTCAAGCAGTTATTGACTTCTTAAAAAACATAATCAGAGGCTAAATGTATATCTTAAATGCAAAACGAAAATAAGTACATTTTTCAGTAAAATACTAAACTTTCATATATTACTTCAGACATTTTCTCTTTATCAAAAGCTTCTGTTAAGGTTTCCTAAAATTCTATAAAGCTTTTGATGTCTAAAATTCTTAAACCTAAGATTAAGATACAAAAAATTGAATTCCAAGTTTTGCTTTTGATACTATCTTTGGATTGAAAAAAAGCTTCTGCTTTTATGTTCGTAAAATTCCATGAAGGTTTGACAAATTTACTGATATTTGAGAAACTTGAACCTTGAACTGCATGGTATTGTCAATGTTAACAGAAAAAACCCATAACCATGCTTAGTCCGTTTACCAATAACCATGCTTAGTCTGTTTACCAATAACCATGCTTAGTCTGTTCACCAATAAAATATTTAAAAATAAAGAAAAAATGTCTAGTTATACTGGCCAACACTGGAGAAAATTCAAGTAAGAGGAGTTAAACAGGGGTATTACCTCCCCTTGACACTGTAAGACTTATCATTCATTACAACTGAGCAATAGGCTTGACATTTAGTCAAGAGACACGTCTGTGACGGCTAGTAAATTAAGAATACTTAAACATAAACATTTCTACATGTAATCTCTTGAATGTATCCAATTTTGACAAAATATTTTAAATTTTCGTATAAAACCATTGCTATACTATAATTATTTACAAATTTTTTTACTTTTAGATTCTCCATTCTTAACTAATGAAAATGATTACTAGATAAGAACCATTATATCTATTAGACAAAAGTTAAGGTCCACAAGTAAAAAAATTCGATGGCATTTAATGGTAGTGAGAAAAAGAAAGTTTGGTAAAAATTCAAAACACAAGATAACCCGTAAATAGAACCTCCACTCTTGTTGAAAATGGAGAATCTTTGCATTAAAAATATTACAATTTATCAAATACATTCTTTAACTGGTTTTTACAAGAGTTATATGAACCATTCATATGTGAAACCTTTCTGTCCATTTCGAAAGACCTCAAAGGGTGACTTGGGAATAGAATTATGGTCACTCTTTGTCATCTCCAGACTGGAAGTAAAGCTCTTGCAAAAGTTGAGCGTCTGTTTTGTAGTTCAGGATATATGTATTCGCTAAATCAGATGCCTTATGTTGAGAGAGAGTGACATGCTGTCTACACATTAAGAACCCTTGCAAAAACTTGGTACGAGAATTAATCACACAATTATTTCCTGCAGCCACAGTATTTGTTATCTGAAAAAGAAATAGACACTTTTCAATTTTTCTGTCATATTCTAAGAAACTGAAATAGGCAACAATTAGAAAACTGGGAATTACAATTAAAGGTTAGAAAAAGAAATGAAACTTCTAAAGTAATCGTTTTTGCCTTCCTAAAACTTGACATGTCCTTCCAGAAAACATTAAATTGTAATATATTTATAAAAATTATGAAAAATCCTAGGAATTTACATGATCTTTAAAAAAAAAGTTTATGAATCTATATAATAGTTCTTTCTTACCTTTAAAAAAGTCAACTCCAATAGCCATTTCCAACATCAATCTATAAGGACAAGTTGTAATGCTAACCTGAAATATAAAATGCTTAGTTATTCAAAATAGTTAAAAAAAAGAATCATTGTTGGTATACTTATGTACATTGTATAGAAATAGGTGATATATAACATATCAAGGTAATAGAAGATGCAGAGAACACATCAATGTGACAAAATCCCAACAACACAAACAAATATGACATCTATGTAATCAATTCAAATCTTTTAAACATTCATATGGGACAAACAAAAAAAACATTTGACCTCTTACAACTTTAAGCCTAGTGCACATTTTATTTCCTATAAATGTACAGAAAATGTTTGGTTTAAATATACTTGCATTATTTCTTTCATGTCAAAGCCTCAGACTTGGGGGTGAAGATCAATCTAATAATCTTCCTTGGAGCGGCTATCCTTGATGCTTGGTTCCTTTCCTGGCAGTCCTCAGACTTGGTTGAAGATCTAAGTAAACATCTTCCATGGAACTGCTATCTTTGCTGCTTTATTTGGTTTTTCAATCTTCACTCTGCACATAGATGAAAATATAAATGTGTAATTATCCAGATTGTCAATGTTAAGAAACTATTTGCTCTTATAATTAACTCAGAAATTAATGTGATGCATGTTTCAATTCAAATCCTAAATTAAGAGGGCAAGTATATTTCCGATTACAATAAATTCTTATTAAAATATATTTAATTAGAGTATAAATTTGAATAAGAAATTTTGGTACAATTTGTAATGAAATTTCAAGCCGTTTTTTTTCCAGGGGAAACTGATTTTTATCACCAAACAAATATGGTATGGGTTTTTCTCATTGGTAATGGCCGTACGGTTGCCTATAATTGCTTACATCCACTTCATTTGAACTTTGGCGGAAAGTTGTCTCATTGGCAATCATACCACATCTCCTTATTTTTATATTAATGGCAGCCAATTACAATGCATTCTTATTAAAATATATTTCATTAAAGTATAAATTTGAATAAGAAATTTTGGTATAATTTGTAGTGAAACTTCAAGCTGTTTTTTCTAGGGAAAAACTGATTTTTATTACCAAACAAATATCAACATAATTTTAAAGTACAATTCAAATGATCAAATACCTACATGCTATGATATCTGTCATCTACAATGAAACCATCCACCTCATGGTCCATGACTAATATCCTCTGGCCTCAGCTACTGTAACGAAAAGAAACTGCTACAAAAAGAAAAAAATCATAAGATTAGTTTATATTTTAATGAAATATAGTTTCAACTTAAATAAAATATACATATCTCAATGTTGCTTATCCTGCTGTGCTTCAATGGAGTCTTTTTCAGGGTCTGTGATGTAAACATCTTCTTCGTAACATCTGAAACAAAAAAAATAAACTTTTTTCAAAATATATATAAAGAAGAACTGTTACACCACTGTCCCAGGTTAGAAGGAGGTTGAGCACTCACAAACATGTTTAACCCCACCACATTCTTTATTTTGTTGTCCGAAGTCAGGAGACTGTAGTTCAGTGGTTGTCGTTGGTTCATGTCTGTCATATTTGTTTTTCGTAAATTGTTTTGTTATAAATTAGGCTGTTAGTTTTTCTCAATTGAATGGTTTCATATTTTTTTATGACAAGGCCTTTTAAAATCGACCATTTTGAAGGCTGTACGGTTGCCTATAACTGCTTACATCCACTTCATTTGAACTTTGGTGGATAGTTGTCTCATTGGCAATCATACCACATCTCCTTATATTTATATTAATGGCAGCAAATTACAATACATTCTTATTAAAATATATTTCATTAAAGTATAAATTCGAATAAGAAATTTTGGTATAATTTGTAGTGAAACTTCAAGCTGTTTTTCTAGGGAAAAACTGATTTTTATTACCAAACAAATATCAACATAATTTTAAAGTACAATTCAAATGATCAAATACCTACATGCTACTATATCTGTCATCTACAATGAAACCATCCATCTTCATGGTCCATGACTAGTATCCTCTGGCCTCAGCTACTGTAACGAAAAGAAACTGCTACAAAAAGAAAAAAATCATAAGATTAGTTTATATTTTAATGAAATATAGTTTCAACTTAAATAAAATATACATATCTCAACGTTGCTTATCCTGCTGTGCTTCAATGGAGTCTTTTTCAGGGTCTGTGATGTAAACATCTTCTTCGTAACGTCTGAAACAAAAAAATGAAACTTTTTTCAAAATATATATAAAGAAGAACTGTTACACCACTGTCCCAGGTTAGGGTCAGGGTTGAGCACTCACAAACATGTTTAACCCCACCACATTCTTTATTTTGTTGTCCGAAGTCAGGAGCCTGTAGTTCAGTGGTTGTCGTTGGTTCATGTCTGTCATATTTGTTTTTCGTAAATTGTTTTGTTATAAATTAGGCCGTTAGTTTTTCTCAATTGAAAGGGTTCATATTTTTTATTACAGGGCCTTTTAAAATCGACCATATGGTATGGGTTTTTCTCATTGTTGAAAGCTGTACAGTTGCCTATAACTGCTTACATCCACTTCATTTGAACTTTGGTGGATAGTTGTCTCATTGGCAATCATACCACATCTCCTTATTTTTATATTAATGGCAGCCAATTACAATACATTCTTATTAAAATATATTTCATTAAAGTATAAATTTTAATAAGAAATTTTGGTATAATTTGTAGTGAAACTTCAAGCTGTATTTCTAGGGAAAAACTGATTTTTATTACCAAACAAATATCAACATAATTTTGAAGTACAATTCAAATGATCAAATACCTACATGCTATGATATCTGTCTTCTACAATGAAACCATCCATCTTCATGGTCCATGAGTAATATCCTCTGGCCTCAGCTACTGTAATGAAAAGAAATTGCTACAAAAAGAAAAAAATCATAAGATTAGTTTATATTTTAATGAAATATAGTTTTAACTTAAATAAAATATACATATCTCAACGTTGCTTATCCTGTTGTGCTTCAATGGAGTCTTTTTCAGGGTCTGTGATGTAAACATCTTCGTTGTAATGTCTGAAACAAAAAAATGAAACTTTTTTCAAAATATATATATAGAAGAACTGTTACACCACTGTCCCAGGTTAGGGTCAGGGTTGAGCACTCACAAACATGTTTAACCCCACAACATTCTTTATTTTGTTGTCCGAAGATAGGAGCCTGTAGTTCAGTAGTTGTTGTTGGTTTATGTCTGTCATATTTTTTTTTCGTAAATTGTTTAGTTATAAATTAGGCCGTTAGTTTTTCTCAATTGAATGGTTTCATATTTTTTATGACTGGGCCTTTTAAAATCGACCATATGGTATGGGTTTTTCTCATTGTTGAAGGCTGTACGGTTGCCTATAACTGCTTACATCCACTTCATTTGTACTTTGGTGGATAGTTGTCTCATTGGCAATCATACCACATCTCCTTATTTCTATATTAATGGCAGACAATTACAATACATTCTTATTAAAATATATTTCATTAAAGTATAAATTTGAATAAGAAATTTTGGTACAATTTGTAGTGAAACCTCAAGCTCTTTTTCTAGGGAAACACTTATTTTTATTACCAAACAAATATCAACATAATTTTAAAGTACAATTCAAATGATCAAATACCTACATGCTACGATATCTGTCATCTACAATGAAACCATCCATCTTCATGGTCCATGACTAATATCCTCTGGCCTCAGCTACTGTAACGAAAAGAAATTGCTACAAAAAGAAAAAAATCATAAGATTAGTTTATATTTTAATGAAATATAGTTTTAACTTAAATAAAATATACATATCTCAACGTTGCTTATCCTGCTGTGCTTCAATGGAATCTTTTTCAGGGTCTGTGATGTAAACATCTTCTTCGTAACGTCTGAAACAAAAAAATGAAACTTTTTTCAAAATATATATAAAGAAGAACTGTTACACCACTGTCCCAGGTTAGGGTCAGGGTTGAGCACTCACAAACATGTTTAACCCCACCACATTCTTTATTTTGTTGTCCGAAGTCAGGAGCCTGTAGTTCAGTGGTTGTCGTTGGTTTATGTCTGTCATATTTGTTTTTTGTAAATTGTTTTGTTATAAATTAGGCCGCTAGTTTTTCTCAATTGAATGGTTTCATATTTTTTATGACAGGTCCTTTTAAAATCGACCATATGGTATGGGTTTTTCTCATTGTTGAAGGCTGCACGGTTGCCTATAACTGCTTACATCCACTTCATTTGTACTTTGGTGGATAGTTGTCTCATTGGCAATCATACCACATCTCCTTTTTTTTATAATAATGGCAGCCAATTACAATACATTCTTAATAAAATATATTTCATTAAAAAATAAATTTTAATAAGAAATTTTGGTACAATTTGTAGTGAAACTTCAAGCTGTTTTTCTAGGGAAAAACTGATTTTTATTACCAAACAAATATCAACATCAATTTAAATTACAATTCAAATGATCAAATACCTACATGCTACGATATCTGTCATCTACAATGAAACCATCCATCTTCATGGTCCATGAGTAATATCCTCTGGCCTCAGCTACTGTAACGAAAAGAAATTGCTACAAAAAGAAAAAAATCATAAGATTAGTTTATATTTTAATGAAATATAGTTTTAACTTTAAAAAATATACATATCTCAACGTTGCTTATCCTGCTGTGCTTCAATGAAGTCTTTTTCAGGGTCTGTGATGTAAACATCTTCGTCGTAACGTCTGAAACAAAAAAATGAAACTTTTTTCAAAATATATATATAGAAGAACTGTTACACCACTGTCCCAGTTTAGAAGAAGGTTGAGCACTCACAAACATGTTTAACCCCACCACATTCTTTATTTTGTTGTCTGAAGTCAGGAGCCTGTAGTTCAGTGGTTGTCGTTGGTTCATGTCTGTCATATTTGTTTTTTGTAAATTGTTTTGTTATAAATTAGGCCGTTAGTTTTTCTCAATTGAATGGTTTCATATTTTTTATGACTGGTCCTTTTAAAATGGACCATATGGTATGGGTTTTTTCTCATTGTTGAAGGCTGTACGGTTGCCTATAACTGCTTACATCCACTTCATTTGTACTTTGGTGGATAGTTGTCTCATTGGCAATCATACCACATCTCCTTATTTTTATATTAATGGCAGCCAATTACAATACATTCTTATTAAGATATATTTCATTAAAGTATAAATTTGAATTAAGAAATTTTGGTATAATTTGTAGTGAAACTTCAAGCTGTTTTTCTAGGGAAACACTTATTTTTATTACCAAACAAATATCAACATAATTTTAAAGTACAATTCAAATGATCAAATACCTACATGCTACGATATCTGTCATCTACAATGAAACCATCCATCTTCATGGTCCATGACTAATATCCTCTGGCCTCAGCTACTGTAACGAAAAGAAATTGCTAGAAAAAGAAAAAAAATCATAAGATTAGTTTATATTTTAATGAAATATAGTTTTAACTTAAATAAAATATACATATCTCAACGTTGCTTATCCTGCTGTGCTTCAATGGAGTCTTTTTCAGGGTCTGTGATGTAAACATCTTCTTCGTAACGTCTGAAACAAAAAAATGAAACTTTTTTCAAAATATATATAAAGAAGAACTGTTACACCACTGTCCCAGGTTAGGGTCAGGGTTGAGCACTCACAAACATGTTTAACCCCACCACATTCTTTATTTTGTTGTCCGAAGTCAGGAGCCTGTAGTTCAGTGGTTGTCGTTGGTTCATGTCTGTCATATTTGTTTTTCGTAAATTGTTTTGTTATAAATTAGGCCGTTAGTTTTTCTCAATTGAAAGGGTTCATATTTTTTATTACAGGGCCTTTTAAAATCGACCATATGGTATGGGTTTTTCTCATTGTTGAAAGCTGTACAGTTGCCTATAACTGCTTACATCCACTTCATTTGAACTTTGGTGGATAGTTGTCTCATTGGCAATCATACCACATCTCCTTATTTTTATATTAATGGCAGCCAATTACAATACATTCTTATTAAAATATATTTCATTAAAGTATAAATTTTAATAAGAAATTTTGGTATAATTTGTAGTGAAACTTCAAGCTGTATTTCTAGGGAAAAACTGATTTTTATTACCAAACAAATATCAACATAATTTTAAAGTACAATTCAAATGATCCAATACCTACATGCTATGATATCTGTCTTCTACAATGAAACCATCCATCTTCATGGTCCATGAGTAATATCCTCTGGCCTCAGCTACTGTAATGAAAAGAAATTGCTACAAAAAGAAAAAAATCATAAGATTAGTTTATATTTTAATGAAATATAGTTTTAACTTAAATAAAATATACATATCTCAACGTTGCTTATCCTGCTGTGCTTCAATGGAGTCTTTTTCAGGGTCTGTGATGTAAACATCTTCGTTGTAATGTCTGAAACAAAAAAATGAAACTTTTTTCAAAATATATATATAGAAGAACTGTTACACCACTGTCCCAGGTTAGGGTCAGGGTTGAGCACTCACAAACATGTTTAACCCCACAACATTCTTTATTTTGTTGTCCGAAGATAGGAGCCTGTAGTTCAGTAGTTGTTGTTGGTTTATGTCTGTCATATTTTTTTTTCGTAAATTGTTTAGTTATAAATTAGGCCGTTAGTTTTTCTCAATTGAATGGTTTCATATTTTTTATGACTGGGCCTTTTAAAATCGACCATATGGTATGGGTTTTTCTCATTGTTGAAGGCTGTACGGTTGCCTATAACTGCTTACATCCACTTCATTTGTACTTTGGTGGATAGTTGTCTCATTGGCAATCATACCACATCTCCTTATTTCTATATTAATGGCAGACAATTACAATACATTCTTATTAAAATATATTTCATTAAAGTATAAATTTGAATAAGAAATTTTGGTACAATTTGTAGTGAAACCTCAAGCTCTTTTTCTAGGGAAACACTTATTTTTATTACCAAACAAATATCAACATAATTTTAAAGTACAATTCAAATGATCAAATACCTACATGCTACGATATCTGTCATCTACAATGAAACCATCCATCTTCATGGTCCATGACTAATATCCTCTGGCCTCAGCTACTGTAACGAAAAGAAATTGCTACAAAAAGAAAAAAATCATAAGATTAGTTTATATTTTAATGAAATATAGTTTTAACTTAAATAAAATATACATATCTCAACGTTGCTTATCCTGCTGTGCTTCAATGGAATCTTTTTCAGGGTCTGTGATGTAAACATCTTCTTCGTAACGTCTGAAACAAAAAAATGAAACTTTTTTCAAAATATATATAAAGAAGAACTGTTACACCACTGTCCCAGGTTAGGGTCAGGGTTGAGCACTCACAAACATGTTTAACCCCACCACATTCTTTATTTTGTTGTCCGAAGTCAGGAGCCTGTAGTTCAGTGGTTGTCGTTGGTTTATGTCTGTCATATTTGTTTTTTGTAAATTGTTTTGTTATAAATTAGGCCGCTAGTTTTTCTCAATTGAATGGTTTCATATTTTTTATGACAGGTCCTTTTAAAATCTACCATATGGTATGGGTTTTTCTCATTGTTGAAGGCTGCACGGTTGCCTATAACTGCTTACATCCACTTCATTTGTACTTTGGTGGATAGTTGTCTCATTGGCAATCATACCACATCTCCTTTTTTTTATAATAATGGCAGCCAATTACAATACATTCTTAATAAAATATATTTCATTAAAAAATAAATTTTAATAAGAAATTTTGGTACAATTTGTAGTGAAACTTCAAGCTGTTTTTCTAGGGAAAAACTGATTTTTATTACCAAACAAATATCAACATCAATTTAAATTACAATTCAAATGATCAAATACCTACATGCTACGATATCTGTCATCTACAATGAAACCATCCATCTTCATGGTCCATGAGTAATATCCTCTGGCCTCAGCTACTGTAACGAAAAGAAATTGCTACAAAAAGAAAAAAATCATAAGATTAGTTTATATTTTAATGAAATATAGTTTTAACTTTAAAAAATATACATATCTCAACGTTGCTTATCCTGCTGTGCTTCAATGAAGTCTTTTTCAGGGTCTGTGATGTAAACATCTTCGTCGTAACGTCTGAAACAAAAAAATGAAACTTTTTTCAAAATATATATATAGAAGAACTGTTACACCACTGTCCCAGTTTAGAAGAAGGTTGAGCACTCACAAACATGTTTAACCCCACCACATTCTTTATTTTGTTGTCTGAAGTCAGGAGCCTGTAGTTCAGTGGTTGTCGTTGGTTCATGTCTGTCATATTTGTTTTTTGTAAATTGTTTTGTTATAAATTAGGCCGTTAGTTTTTCTCAATTGAATGGTTTCATATTTTTTATGACTGGTCCTTTTAAAATGGACCATATGGTATGGGTTTTTTCTCATTGTTGAAGGCTGTACGGTTGCCTATAACTGCTTACATCCACTTCATTTGTACTTTGGTGGATAGTTGTCTCATTGGCAATCATACCACATCTCCTTATTTTTATATTAATGGCAGCCAATTACAATACATTCTTATTAAGATATATTTCATTAAAGTATAAATTTGAATTAAGAAATTTTGGTATAATTTGTAGTGAAACTTCAAGCTGTTTTTCTAGGGAAACACTTATTTTTATTACCAAACAAATATCAACATAATTTTAAAGTACAATTCAAATGATCAAATACCTACATGCTACGATATCTGTCATCTACAATGAAACCATCCATCTTCATGGTCCATGACTAATATCCTCTGGCCTCAGCTACTGTAACGAAAAGAAATTGCTAGAAAAAGAAAAAAAATCATAAGATTAGTTTATATTTTAATGAAATATAGTTTTAACTTAAATAAAATATACATATCTCAACGTTGCTTATCCTGCTGTGCTTCAATGGAGTCTTTTTCAGGGTCTGTGATGTAAACATCTTCTTCGTAACGTCTGAAACAAAAAAATGAAACTTTTTTCAAAATATATATAAAGAAGAACTGTTACACCACTGTCCCAGGTTAGGGTCAGGGTTGAGCACTCACAAACATGTTTAACCCCACCACATTCTTTATTTTGTTGTCCGAAGTCAGGAGCCTGTAGTTCAGTGGTTGTCGTTGGTTCATGTCTGTCATATTTGTTTTTCGTAAATTGTTTTGTTATAAATTAGGCCGTTAGTTTTTCTCAATTGAAAGGGTTCATATTTTTTATTACAGGGCCTTTTAAAATCGACCATATGGTATGGGTTTTTCTCATTGTTGAAAGCTGTACAGTTGCCTATAACTGCTTACATCCACTTCATTTGAACTTTGGTGGATAGTTGTCTCATTGGCAATCATACCACATCTCCTTATTTTTATATTAATGGCAGCCAATTACAATACATTCTTATTAAAATATATTTCATTAAAGTATAAATTTTAATAAGAAATTTTGGTATAATTTGTAGTGAAACTTCAAGCTGTATTTCTAGGGAAAAACTGATTTTTATTACCAAACAAATATCAACATAATTTTGAAGTACAATTCAAATGATCAAATACCTACATGCTATGATATCTGTCTTCTACAATGAAACCATCCATCTTCATGGTCCATGAGTAATATCCTCTGGCCTCAGCTACTGTAATGAAAAGAAATTGCTACAAAAAGAAAAAAATCATAAGATTAGTTTATATTTTAATGAAATATAGTTTTAACTTAAATAAAATATACATATCTCAACGTTGCTTATCCTGCTGTGCTTCAATGGAGTCTTTTTCAGGGTCTGTGATGTAAACATCTTCGTTGTAATGTCTGAAACAAAAAAATGAAACTTTTTTCAAAATATATATATAGAAGAACTGTTACACCACTGTCCCAGGTTAGGGTCAGGGTTGAGCACTCACAAACATGTTTAACCCCACAACATTCTTTATTTTGTTGTCCGAAGATAGGAGCCTGTAGTTCAGTAGTTGTTGTTGGTTTATGTCTGTCATATTTTTTTTTCGTAAATTGTTTAGTTATAAATTAGGCCGTTAGTTTTTCTCAATTGAATGGTTTCATATTTTTTATGACTGGGCCTTTTAAAATCGACCATATGGTATGGGTTTTTCTCATTGTTGAAGGCTGTACGGTTGCCTATAACTGCTTACATCCACTTCATTTGTACTTTGGTGGATAGTTGTCTCATTGGCAATCATACCACATCTCCTTATTTCTATATTAATGGCAGACAATTACAATACATTCTTATTAAAATATATTTCATTAAAGTATAAATTTGAATAAGAAATTTTGGTACAATTTGTAGTGAAACCTCAAGCTCTTTTTCTAGGGAAACACTTATTTTTATTACCAAACAAATATCAACATAATTTTAAAGTACAATTCAAATGATCAAATACCTACATGCTACGATATCTGTCATCTACAATGAAACCATCCATCTTCATGGTCCATGACTAATATCCTCTGGCCTCAGCTACTGTAACGAAAAGAAATTGCTACAAAAAGAAAAAAATCATAAGATTAGTTTATATTTTAATGAAATATAGTTTTAACTTAAATAAAATATACATATCTCAACGTTGCTTATCCTGCTGTGCTTCAATGGAATCTTTTTCAGGGTCTGTGATGTAAACATCTTCTTCGTAACGTCTGAAACAAAAAAATGAAACTTTTTTCAAAATATATATAAAGAAGAACTGTTACACCACTGTCCCAGGTTAGGGTCAGGGTTGAGCACTCACAAACATGTTTAACCCCACCACATTCTTTATTTTGTTGTCCGAAGTCAGGAGCCTGTAGTTCAGTGGTTGTCGTTGGTTTATGTCTGTCATATTTGTTTTTTGTAAATTGTTTTGTTATAAATTAGGCCGCTAGTTTTTCTCAATTGAATGGTTTCATATTTTTTATGACAGGTCCTTTTAAAATCTACCATATGGTATGGGTTTTTCTCATTGTTGAAGGCTGCACGGTTGCCTATAACTGCTTACATCCACTTCATTTGTACTTTGGTGGATAGTTGTCTCATTGGCAATCATACCACATCTCCTTTTTTTTATAATAATGGCAGCCAATTACAATACATTCTTAATAAAATATATTTCATTAAAAAATAAATTTTAATAAGAAATTTTGGTACAATTTGTAGTGAAACTTCAAGCTGTTTTTCTAGGGAAAAACTGATTTTTATTACCAAACAAATATCAACATCAATTTAAATTACAATTCAAATGATCAAATACCTACATGCTACGATATCTGTCATCTACAATGAAACCATCCATCTTCATGGTCCATGAGTAATATCCTCTGGCCTCAGCTACTGTAACGAAAAGAAATTGCTACAAAAAGAAAAAAATCATAAGATTAGTTTATATTTTAATGAAATATAGTTTTAACTTTAAAAAATATACATATCTCAACGTTGCTTATCCTGCTGTGCTTCAATGAAGTCTTTTTCAGGGTCTGTGATGTAAACATCTTCGTCGTAACGTCTGAAACAAAAAAATGAAACTTTTTTCAAAATATATATATAGAAGAACTGTTACACCACTGTCCCAGTTTAGAAGAAGGTTGAGCACTCACAAACATGTTTAACCCCACCACATTCTTTATTTTGTTGTCTGAAGTCAGGAGCCTGTAGTTCAGTGGTTGTCGTTGGTTCATGTCTGTCATATTTGTTTTTTGTAAATTGTTTTGTTATAAATTAGGCCGTTAGTTTTTCTCAATTGAATGGTTTCATATTTTTTATGACTGGTCCTTTTAAAATGGACCATATGGTATGGGTTTTTTCTCATTGTTGAAGGCTGTACGGTTGCCTATAACTGCTTACATCCACTTCATTTGTACTTTGGTGGATAGTTGTCTCATTGGCAATCATACCACATCTCCTTATTTTTATATTAATGGCAGCCAATTACAATACATTCTTATTAAGATATATTTCATTAAAGTATAAATTTGAATTAAGAAATTTTGGTATAATTTGTAGTGAAACTTCAAGCTGTTTTTCTAGGGAAACACTTATTTTTATTACCAAACAAATATCAACATAATTTTAAAGTACAATTCAAATGATCAAATACCTACATGCTACGATATCTGTCATCTACAATGAAACCATCCATCTTCATGGTCCATGACTAATATCCTCTGGCCTCAGCTACTGTAACGAAAAGAAATTGCTAGAAAAAGAAAAAAAATCATAAGATTAGTTTATATTTTAATGAAATATAGTTTTAACTTAAATAAAATATACATATCTCAACGTTGCTTATCCTGCTGTGCTTCAATGGAGTCTTTTTCAGGGTCTGTGATGTAAACATCTTCTTCGTAACGTCTGAAACAAAAAAATGAAACTTTTTTCAAAATATATATAAAGAAGAACTGTTACGCCACTGTCCCAGGTTAGGGTCAGGGTTGAGCACTCACAAACATGTTTAACCCCACCACATTCTTTATTTTGTTGTCCGAAGTCAGGAGCCTGTAGTTCAGTGGTTGTCGTTGGTTCGTGTCCGTCATATTTGTTTTTCGTAAATTGTTTTGTTATAAATCAGGCCATTAGTTTTTCTCAATTGAATGGTTTCATACTTTTTATGACTGGGCCTTTTAAAATCGACCATATGGTATGGGTTTTTCTCATTGTTGAAGGCTGTACGGTTGCCTATAACTGCTTACATCCACTTCATTTGTACTTTGGTGGATAGTTGTCTCATTGGCAATCATACCACATCTCCTTATTTCTATATCAATGGCAGACAATTACAATACATTCTTAATAAAATATATTTCATTAAAGTATAAATTTGAATAAGAAATTTTGGTACAATTTGTAGTGAAACCTCAAGCTGTTTTTCTAGGGAAAAACTGATTTTTATTACCAAACAAATATCAACATAATCTTGAAGTACAATTCAAATGATCAAATACCTACATGCTACGATATCTGTCATCTACAATGAAACCATCCATCTTCATGGTCCATGAGTAATATCCTCTGGCCTCAGCTACTGTAACGAAAAGAAATTGCTACAAAAAGAAAAAAATCATAAGATTAGTTTATATTTTAATGAAATATAGTTTTAACTTAAATAAAATATACATATCTCAACGTTGCTTATCCTGCTGTGCTTCAATGGAGTCTTTTTCAGGGTCTGTGATGTAAACATCTTCTTCGTAACGTCTGAAACAAAAAAATGAAACTTTTTTCAAAATATATATAAAGAAGAACTGTTACACCACTGTCCCAGGTTAGGGTCAGGGTTGAGCACTCACAAACATGTTTAACCCCACAACATTCTTTATTTTGTTGTCCGAAGTCAGGAGCCTGTAGTTCAGTGGTTGTCGTTGGTTTATGTCTGTCATATTTGTTTTTTGTAAATTGTTTTGTTATAAATTAGGCCGCTAGTTTTTCTCAATTGAATGGTTTCATATTTTTTATGACAGGTCCTTTTAAAATCAACCATATGGTATGGGTTTTTCTCATTGTTGAAGGCTGCACGGTTGCCTATAACTGCTTACATCCACTTCATTTGTACTTTGGTGGATAGTTGTCTCATTGGCAATCATACCACATCTCCTTATTTTTATAATAATGGCAGCTAATTACAATACATTCTTAATGAAATATATTTCATTAAAAAATAAATTTTAATAAGAAATTTTGGTACAATTTGTAGTGAAACTTCAAGCTGTTTTTCTAGGGAAACACTTATTTTTATTACCAAACAAATATCAACATCAATTTAAATTACAATTCAAATGATCAAATACCTACATGCTACGATATCTGTCATCTACAATTAAACCATCCATCTTCATGGTCCATGAGTAATATCCTCTGGCCTCAGCTACTGTAACGAAAAGAAATTGCTACAAAAAGAAAAAAATCATAAGATTAGTTTATATTTTAATGAAATATAGTTTTAACTTAAAAAAATATACATATCTCAACGTTGCTTATCCTGCTGTGCTTCAATGAAGTCTTTTTCAGGGTCTGTGATGTAAACATCTTCGTCGTAACGTCTGAAACAAAAAAATGAAACTTTTTTCAAAATATATATATAGAAGAACTGTTACACCACTGTCCCAGTTTAGAAGAAGGTTGAGCACTCACAAACATGTTTAACCCCACCACATTCTTTATTTTGTTGTCTGAAGTCAGGAGCCTGTAGTTCAGTGGTTGTCGTTGGTTCATGTCTGTCATATTTGTTTTTTGTAAATTGTTTTGTTATAAATTAGGCCGTTAGTTTTTCTCAATTGAATGGTTTCATATTTTTTATGACAGGTCCTTTTAAAATGGACCATATGGTATGGGTTTTTCTCATTGTTGAAGGCTGTACGGTTGCCTATAACTGCTTACATCCACTTCATTTGTACTTTGGTGGATAGTTGTCTCATTGGCAATCATACCACATCTCCTTATTTTTATATTAATGGCAGCCAATTACAATACATTCTTATTAAAATATATTTCATTAAAGTATAAATTTGAATTAAGAAATTTTGGTATAATTTGTAGTGAAACTTCAAGCTGTTTTTCTAGGGAAACACTTATTTTTATTTCCAAACAAATATCAACATAATTTTAAAGTACAATTCAAATGATCAAATACCTACATGCTACGATATCTGTCATCTACAATGAAACCATCCATCTTCATGGTCCATGACTAATATCCTCTGGCCTCAGCTACTGTAACAAAAAGAAATTGCTACAAAAAGAAAAAAATCATAAGATTAGTTTATATTTTAATGAAATATAGTTTCAACTTAAATAAAATATACATATCTCAACGTTGCTTATCCTGCTGTGCTTCAATGGAGTCTTTTTCAGGGTCTGTGATGTAAACATCTTCTTCATAACATCTGAAACAAAAAAATGAAACTTTTTTCAAAATATATATAAAGAAGAACTGTTACACCACTGTGCCAGGTTAGGGTCAGGGTTGAGCACTCACAAACATGTTTAACCCCACCACATTCTTTATTTTGTTGTCCGAAGTCAGGAGCCTGTAGTTCAGTGGTTGTCGTCGCTTCATGTTCGTCATATTTGTTTTTCGTAAATTGTTTTGTTATAAATCAGGCCATTAGTTTTTCTCAATTGAATGGTTTCATATTTTTTATGACAGGTCCTTTTAAAATCGACCATATGGTATGGGTTTTTCTCATTGTTGAAGGCTGTACGGTTGCCTATAACTGCTTACATCCACTTCATTTGAACTTTGGTGGAAAGTTGTCTCATTGACAATCATACCACATCTCCTTATTTTCATATTAATGGAAGCCAATTACAATACATTCTTAATAAAATATATTTCATTAAAGTATAAATTTGAATAAGAAATTTTGGTACAATTTGTAGTGAAACCTCAAGCTGTTTTTCTAGGGAAACACTTATTTTTATTACCAAACAAATATCAACATAATTTTAAAGTACAATTCAAATGATCAAATACCTACATGCTACGATATCTGTCATCTACAATGAAACCATCCATCTTCATGGTCCATGACTAATATCCTCTGGCCTCAGCTTCTGTAACGAAAAGAAATTGCTACAAAAAGAAAAAAATCATAAGATTAGTTTATATTTTAATGAAATATAGTTTTAACTTAAATAAAATATACATATCTCAACGTTGCTTATCCTGCTGTGCTTCAATGGAGTCTTTTTCAGGGTCTGTGATGTAAACATCTTCGTCGTAACGTCTGAAACAAAAAAACGAAACTTTTTTCAAAATATATATAAAGAAGAACTGTTACACCACTGTCCCAGGTTAGGGTCAGGGTTGAGCACTCACAAACATGTTTAACCCCACCACATTCTTTATTTTGTTGTCTGAAGTCAGGAGCCTGTAGTTCAGTGGTTGTCGTTGGTTCATGTCCGTCATATTTGTTTTTCGTAAATTGTTTTGTTATAAATTAGGCCGTTAGTTTTTCTCAATTGAATGGTTTCATATTTTTTATGACAGGTCTTTTTAAAATCGACCATATGGTATGGGTTTTTTCTCATTGTTGAAGGCTGTACGGTTGCCTATAACTGCTTACATCCACTTCATTTGTACTTTGGTGGATAGTTGTCTCATTGGCAATCATACCACATCTCCTTATTTTTATATTAATGGCAGCCAATTACAATACATTCTTAATAAAATATATTTCATTAAAAAATAAATTTTAATAAGAAATTTGGTACAATTTGTAGTGAAACTTCAAGCTGTTTTTCTAGGGAAAAACTGATTTTTATTACCAAACAAATATCAACATCAATTTAAATTACAATTCAAATGATCAAATACCTACATGCTACGATATCTGTCATCTACAATGAAACCATCCATCTTCATGGTCCATGAGTAATATCCTCTGGCCTCAGCTACTGTAACGAAAAGAAACTGCTACAAAAAGAAAAAAATCATAAGATTAGTTTATATTTTAATGAAATATAGTTTCAACTTAAATAAAATATACATATCTCAACATTGCTTATCCTGCTGTGCTTCAATGGAGTCTTTTTCAGGGTCTGTGATGTAAACATCTTCTTCGTAACATCTGAAACAAAAAAATGAAACTTTTTTTTCAAAATATATATAAAGAAGAACTGTTACACCACTGACCCAGGTTAGAAGAAGGTTGAGCACTCACAAACATGTTTAACCCCACCACATTCTTTATTTTGTTGTCCGATTTCAGGAGCCTGTCTTTCAGTGGTTGTCGTTGGTTGTTCATGTCTGTCATATTTGTTTTTTGTAAATTTTGTTCTAATGAGGCCGTTAGTTTTTCTCAATTGAATTGTTTCATATTTTTTGTGACAGAGCCTTTTGTCCGACCATATGGTATGGGTTTTTCTCATTGTTGAAGGCCTTACAGTTGCCTATAACTGCTTACATCCACTTCATTTGAACTTTGGTGGATAGTTGTCTCATTGGCAATCATACCACATCTCCTTATTTTTATATTAATGGCAGCCAATTACAATACATTCTTATTAAAATATATTTCATTAAAGTATAAATTTGAATAAGAAATTTTGGTACAATTTGTTATCGTCTGAAACAAAAAAACGAAACTTTTTTCAAAATATATATAAAGAAGAACTGAATTATGTTGATGAATCAAATTAATGATGGTAAGGTATCATCGTAATAAAAACTTAATCTTTAGTGCCAAAATCTGTTTTGTAAAATAACTTAACTTCATAAATCTGAGGTCCTACCAACACCACCCACCACACCCCCCCCCCCCCCAAATCAAATTGGCAATTTTCATCCCAATTGGCAATTTTTTTATGCATAAAATCTGAGATGTGAAAATATTATTTTCCTGTAAAAATATAAAATGTATTATGTTTAACCTGTTTACTGCTGTAAGAAATATATCAGTCAGCATTTTGTCTTGAGGAAATAGAGCCAGACAAGATTTATAATATATTTTTTCATAAAAACAAGTTTCCGTCATATTATATATCCTGCTTTGCTGGGCGATCTGCTTTTACAAGATCAGCGCCCTTTAAATTCAATAATGTTATATAAAAATTTAAATTTTGCTCTCTGCCGAGGTCTGCTTTTACGAGGCCTGTTTTGACAAAGAGTATCTTTTTTATCAACCTGCTGGGTAATCTGCTTTTACGAATCAGTGCCCTTTAAATTCATCAATGTTATATTAAAATTCCAATTTTGGTCTCTGCCGAGGTCTGCTTTTACGAGACCCATTTAACAAAGAGCATCTTTTTTATCAACCTGCTAGGCGATCTGCTTTTACAAGATCAGTGCCCTTTAAATTCATCAATGTTATATCAAAATTCTAATTTTGCTCTCTGCGGAGGTCTGCTTTTACGAGGCCCATTTGACAAAGAGCATCTTTTTTATCAACCTGCTGGGCGATCTGCTTTTACGAGATCAGTGCCCTTTAAATTCATCAATGTTATATCAAAATTCCAATTTTGCTCTCTGCCGAGGTCTGCTTTTACGAGGCCCATTTGACAAAGAGCATCTTTTTTATCAACCTGCTGGGCGATCTGCTTTTACGAGATCAGTGCCCTTTAAATTCATCAATGTTATATCAAAATTCCAATTTTGCTCTCTGCTGAGGTCTGCTTTTACGAGGCCCATTTGACATAGAGCATCTTTTTTATCAACCTGCTGGGCGATCTGCTTTTACGAGATCAGTGCCCTTTAAATTCATCAATGTTATATTAAAATTCCAATTTGCTCTCTGCCGAGGTCTGCTTTTACGAGGCCCATTTGACAAAGAGCATCTTTTTTATCAACCTGCTGGGCGATCTGCTTTTACGAGATCAGTGCCCTTTAAATTAATCAATGTTATATCAAAATTCCAATTTTGCTCTCAGCCGAGGTCTGCTTTTACGAGGCCCATTTGACATAGAGCATCTTTTTTATCAACCTGCTGGGCGATCTGCTTTTACGAGATCAGTGCCCTTTAAATTCATCAATGTTATATCAAAATTCCAATTTTGCTCTCTGCCGAAGTCTGCTTTTACGAGGCCCATTTGACAAAGAGCATCTTTTTTATCAACCTGCTGGGCGATCTGCTTTTACGAGATCAGTGCCCTTTAAATTCATCAATGTTATATTAAAATTCCAATTTTGCTCTCTGCCGAGGTCTGCTTTAACGATGCCCATTTTGACAAAATGCATCTTTTTTATCATGCTGCTGGGCGATCTGCTTTTACGAGATCAAATACTTCCATAGCAATTGTATCTAAGGAGTCTGCAAGACCAAATATCTAGAGAGAAACAATAATAAACCACACGTTGACATGATTGAATTGTTAATAAAATGCGATCGTTAACGGCAAAAAAATTATTTACATGAAATTGAATTTGAACAAGCTGCTTAAAATGAACAAGAGTGCACACGCTGAAATGTCTCGCCTGCTTTACTGACCATTAATGTCATATCGACAGTCCTAAATATAAAGCTTTACCACAAGTATCACATAAACTTAACATTATCCAAGAACATGAGGTCAAGGTCAGATAAACTAAACCGGAAATACATGTACACCTTATAATCATTCCATACACCAAATACAGTTGACGTATTGCTTATAGTTTCTATTCTAAGAAACCAACTTAATCAGGAAAACGTAACATGGACCAATGAACCATGAAAATGGACAAGATCAGATGAACCATGCCAGACAGACATGTACACCTTACAATCAATCTATTCATTAAATATAGTTGACCTATTATTTATAGTATCTAAGAAACAAACTTAACCATGAAAACTTAACATTGACCAATGAACCATGAAAATGAGGTCAAGGTCAGATGATACATTGTACCTGCCACACAGACATATACACCTTACAATCATTATTAAGATTTACAGTTAGCATACAGAAAAGAAAATGCCTGACTGTTTGAAAACCATTAATCCCCCCCTTACTTCCCAGCATGGGGTATAATAATCACAAAAGGTAATTAAACAGTTTGAAATTCAAATCGGTAATCAAAAATAAAAGGCTTACTTTACCTGGTGCTACCATAGGAAAGTTGTTGTACTGTCTGGCTCTTCAAAATGCATACCTTTACCAAGTAAGACGACTGTTGGTCAGAGTCATAGTATACAAGAACTGAAATGAGATGAACAACAAAAGTCAATGATGATTAAATGTATAAAGTTTATTTAAGCTAGAATGATCTATTTGAGAAGGAATGACATCACTTGATCCCCTTACTGCATTTCAATAACATGTTAAATGCATTTAGTGAAGTTACTTGACCCTAGCTTACAAGGTTTTAAATTGGTAAGGATCAATTAACAGATGGGGATAATTCCTTAAGTAACAGGACATGATATTACTTAAGGTTGTCCAATTGTCTGGGACAAGTGAAAGTTATTCTCTGGCAAGCACAAGTTGCCATGTACTTATACGTTTGGCAACTAAAAATAAAAGTTGAAAACATGGAAAAATCTGCACACAGAAATGTGATCTTAAATATGTAAATAAGTGAACCCTATAAAATGAAATTCAGGTGGTTTATTTTATCAGGCTTAAAAAGAATTCCTTTCCTACGTGCATTTAATTTTCTGAAACATAAAATGCATTAAATTTTATTTAGGCATGGATTTTAAATTATTTTTTTCTTACAGATAGGCAAACTTAATTTTTCCGATTTTATTTTGGAAATTTCATCTTTTTTTTATTCCCCAGTGTGGTTCAGGTGAGGTAGAGGATGAAATTCACTTTTTCTTTCATTGCACCAAATTTAACAAGCAAATTCATAATTGTGTAAAACTAATCTCTCATGTAGTCATGTAAAATAATTTTATCTAGTTCTGAGAACTTATTTTGGTTAATGACCAGTGTGAGGACATATCAGTAATTTGCTACTTTTTTAGGTTAAATTCATAATTTCATAACTACAGCTTGCTTGACTTGTTTAGACAAAGAGAATTACGATTCTCAAGCACCATTCCTGATTTGTCCTCCAGGAAAGCAATCAACTGACCAAAGATTTTGCCTAACTTGGGTCACAATGCCGCAAACCTCCCTACTGCAGAGAAATTATCATTTAAAATCATTTTATATTGTTTTATTATTATTATAGCATTATTATACATTGTATTCTTGTATTGTACTTTTTGTATATGTTGAATTATGAGTGTATCCTGGTTGTCATTCCCCCTGAGCAAGGAGTTGTATAGTAACTTACTTTAAAAATCCTTGATCTG